GATCTTAACAAAAGTTAGTGTGGAAGAGCCATACTTCGTACAGAAAACCGGCGTGTTATGTTTCCATTGTATTTCAAGTTATCAGTGATATTACCAGATGTCCGATTCTAACTCCCATTCCCAATCCCCTAATTCTCAAACCTCTAAGACTTGAAACGGCCGGCAAAGCAAAAGCGGATCTATGGACGGCGAGCAAAGTCCCCACAAAACTAGTACCAGAGACCTGAGGGTACGGGCTCAAAGAGCCAGTAAACCACCACAGATGGGGCCTAGGGTCGATGTTGAGCCAGAAGCAATAATGTTCAGCAGCCTCCGTCTGGATGTAAGCCAAAAAATTGTCAAAGGAAAGTGCACACCCAATTCCATATTCCATGCTATTTTTGAGAATGTCAATAACAGATTAAAAAAAAAGTATTTTCACGGAAATTGTAATACGGACCTCGTGGTCGACGTCGTTGCGTTGGTAATCACTAGACCAACAAGAGATTACGTGAATAGGTATAATAGAATCTATCTTAGGAAACAATAGAATCAGTTATAGCGCTGTTAAGGTTGTTTTTCTATACAAATCTAACGCAAGTAAATATTAAATTACTCATTATCAAGACAAAGGAATACGTTGATATAATTAAGAAAAAAACATTACAATGAACCTTACATCACACTGGTGTAAACTTAGGTTAAGTTTAAGTGTGAGAGAGCCATGTTGTGGCACGAACGAGTCGGCTCGAGCGGAGTGATTTCAGCCTCAGAGAAAACCAGCGCGAAACAAGTACAGTTACAAGTAAATTTAATTGTTATTAAAGATACTCACTGACCCCACAGTCAAACCATTACAACGGTTTGGTGGGGCTTAGCACATAAGATGGCAACCTTTGTGATATAAAATAAATAAAAAATAATAAAAACAACTATAACGTTATGTTTCGCCTTGTGAGTGAGGTAACTGGAGTCCTAATCCTTCTTCCCCTCCCGGGGGAGGATCCCCAGATCCCCAAATCTCGTAAACTCTTCTTGTGTGGCTATAGGCGGCGCCGATTGCTTACCGTTGTCTGCCGTCCTATCACTAAAAATACCAGAAGAATATTATTTTATTGAGCATTATAATTATGATTTCTTATACTTATATTCTTGGTTTTGCTTTTTTTAATTTGTTGTTTTTTTTTCAGTACACAGACAAATAAATTAGATTTTATTAAAAAGTAAAAGTACAATTTTCTCATCATGCATCTGTTCCGTCAAGTGTTATTTTCTTTGGTATATGTACAAAATTGTTTGACAAACTTTGGTACAGTGTGTCAACACATACAAAAGTTTATCATATAAAAAAAAATGGAATCTACATACTAATACAGGCTTTCTTCTTTGATTAATGAATAAATTCCACGTTATAACAAAATCCTAACGCCATGGAATGGATTCAGTTTAAGATAAAGAATTTCGGAATCAGAAAAACCCAATAACATTTTGACATACCTAAGAACTTTTGAGAATTTTCGCAAGATCTTGCTTTCCCATCCACAAAATGACCTTAGCATATACAAATATCTACCAAGGTAACTTCCAAAGCAAATGAGTTGGCATTTCCGAAAGAAATTCAATCGTATGATAATGACGTAATGACTTTTGATGCACAATACATTGTTATCATTATTATCAGTGATCCGTGTCATTGTCGCGAAGAACAATGGACATTTTGTTTTTGGACAATTGATATTATTTGGCTACTGTTCTTTTGTGTTGAAGAAAGTGAGTTTTTGAGTCAACCTGTGTACCTACGCGATTGTGACTTCAAAAAAATAAACACATCAGTAAATTTAATAATAAGGTTGGTTTTATTTGTTTACCCTAATAGGGGTCGTATTTTTTTTCTACAGTTATTTTATATTTATGAGTTATAATTGTATGGGAGTGCCACCACAATAGGGCCCAACAGGACAGCAACCTGACATTGACATGTTCAGCCGAGGTTGCGGGGCAAGCGAAATAAGGTACCGGTCTCAGGCCGAGACCGCGGTACCTTATTTCGCTGGGCTGAGACTCTCAGCCCAGAGGAGGCTAAGGAATAGGGTAATTTTTGGTCACTAAGAGCCTCCCACATGCCTTAATGATTTTCCCCACATAATAGGGGATGGGTCTATTCGATTGAATTTTCAGCCACCTGACAATATCAGCAGAGCCAAAGCTGAAAAAGTAATAGAATGATTTTCCTTCTTAAAAACAAAAGGCGAGTCATAATTACAAGCACAATTTCTTATTTCGTGCTACCATCGAGAAAAATCGGGTAAGCGTTACAGTTACAAACTGAAAAATAAGAAATTTTCCAAGACTGATAATAATATTATTATTATACAATTTCTAAGTGAAAATTGAGCGCAGTGTCGAAATATCCTCGCTTTTCCTTTCAAAGTAAATTAGACATGATTTTTTATATGACTATTTCAATTCTGATATATGCAAATCGTCTGAAATTTTAGCATAAGTTGTTAAAAATCACAATACGATGACGCAAGTTATAAAAAACTGAAAGTCTACATATAAATAAATAAATATGTATATTAGGAAAATGATGACATTGAACATTATGACTATTTCCAATATTGTAAATATGCGGTACATTTTACTGTCTAAATGTGGTGACAAAAACCTTGAAAGAATCTTTTGTCTCTGATAAATTAACGTGATAATTCACACATCATTATTTGTATTTATAAGAGGACATGCTTATTGTATGGTTTATTCAAACATAGAACTTGGAACATGTTCGTCAAGTAACTTAAGCATTTGACTGTCGACAAAAACTGTTAAAGACGAACCCTCCTCTAGCGTCGTAATTTGGAGATTGAGGAGGGATTGGGGGATTGGAAGATTTGTATCTCCGGTAACCTCACTCACATAGCGAAACACAACGCTTTGGTTGTTTCACGCCGGTTTTCTGTGTGGCCGTTGTATCACTCCGGTCGAGCCGACCCGTTCGTGTTAAAGCAGGGCTCCTTTCTAATTATCTTAAGTCTATAAAAAGTTCGGTCTAGTTTTCCTATAAAAAACTTTTTCAGTACAATTTTTCTCCATCTACACTTTAATCTATTTAACACATTCAGAGCCGTCGACTCCCTCAGAGAGTCCGCGGAAAGTTAATTCAAGTTTAGATATGAAAACTTTTTCAACAGTATTCTGTTTTTAATTCTACACGCTAACATACTTCAGACTTGTGAAGATTTTTTGCTCTCTTCCTTTTCAAGTCAAAAAGCATTCCATCTCTGTCACTTGAACATATTTGTTTATGACTAAGTAAAATTAATGACTTACTATACTTATTAGTCGCAAAAAACAGTAGAAAAAAATCTGCATAATGTACTTATAATAAATTAGGGTTTCGTAAGCGACAGCAGTTTTTTGCACATCGATATGTATTGATATCATCAACGTTCGATGTACAGCTGAAGCTAACAGTTACTGGCAAAAAGATAGCCAATAAAAAAAAATGTAAAAACATGCGTCTAATGGCGTGAGATTTGCTAACTTCTTATTGGACAAAAAAATCGAGGTTCGCAATGGTGTCATCTTTCTAGATGGTCACTACCAAAAAGCGGTAGCTGCCATTGAAAAAGATTATGTTGTGTGTTTGTAGGTCGATCACGGACATCTTTTGCATCGAAAAGATCTGAAGATTTTTGTGCATATAAATTATATATGTATATGTAGTGCCTTCCATACTAAAATTTAGTGAAAATATATATGTTTATACATAGTCAATATAGTCATTTTCTTTTATTTAAAAACTTTTAATGTTTTTTCTTTCCTTTTAAAATAATTATTTATCTATTTAATTAAAACTCAATGCCACTTTTCGTTGTAATGATAAAACTCAACAATGCCATTACAGATTTGGCAAATTTTTTAGAGAACAAAAATTATGAGATGATGGAAAATCGACATTTAGACACAGGCGGAGCCGCGGGCGACCGCTAATAATTAACATTACCTTTATTCAAAATAACTTATGCTAAGATAAAAACCATACGGAACCATACGCATTTGAGTCATGCTTAAATTTTTTATTTCCATTTATCATAATAGAATTATTGTTGAAATAAATGAATGTAATTATTAGAATTAGTGTCAATATTTATATTAGTGGTGTCTTGTATAATTTTATATGAGCAGGATTTATAGTTTGGCGACGTTGTTTGAAAAACGTGATGACACTTATGACGTCAATTTGTTAAAGTAAAATACGAATATATGTATTTTTTTTTTCATGGTCAAGCTATTTCAGAGTTTTATATACTTAAGTCTCTGGGAGGCTGGTCTGTGGCCTTCTTTCTCGTCATACACAAAAACAAAAAAATATTTACATCGTACTGTGGTCTGTAGGGATGACACAGTATTGGGTCTTTTTTCGAAATGCGGAACTCATGATAGATAGTCAAGCGTTTCAAAAAAAAAAAACAAACAACTGTGAGGATCATTGTATTAGATTATTAAAAAAACATTTGTATCTCAAAACTAAATTGCTTCATGCTAGAATACCACTTATGTAGTTCAAAACAAGTAAAATTCAATAACTTTTCCGGGTGGTGTGTTATGATAACGTTCGTTTCCCGTCAAAATAATAGCATACTTATTTCTTGAAAATCAGCTAAAAATATCGAAAAAGTGATCAATGATTTAAAGTATAGTTATTTTCCAATAATTTATTGTGTTGAAAAGATGAAATAATTTATTTTTGACATAGAATACTACCTAATTGGGCAGCAGCTTTTCGTTCATAAATCGGTGACCTAACTGCGATCCCCAAACTGCCTGCCTGCGAAGCGTGGGGATTATGGCAAACCTTATTTTTTTATTGTCATAACAATACATTTATAAGTCGATTTTAGCTGACTGACCAAATTTAACGTAGGTAACAGAATAAATTACAACATAGAGGCATAGATACACACATACAGCTAATCGCCTTACTATAAGACACTAGAAAAAAATGAAAGATGACTCACCGTTCTCTCAGCACAGGATCCAAGCCAACAGTCGGTTCATCCAATATAAGGAGTTCAGGTTCATGTACCAGGGCCGCAGCAAGCGAAACACGTCTCTGTTGCCCTCCAGATAAAGTCTTTATCAGTCTTCCACCACTGGGCAAGTCTAGGAGGTCAGAAAGAAACTCGAAGCGTTCCATCATCTTTTCCATTTTCATTCCATAAATGCGGCCAAAGTAGTATATGGCGTCTCGAACTGTGAATTCGCCGACTAGTGCTATGTCCTGTGAGATGGAGAAATGTGATTTATTTAAGGAATGATGTGGCTCTTGATTAGGGTATCAGTAATGGCTAAGACTTGGTACTGGAGTCTCTTAAACACTTTTTGAGTATCATTGCATGGGGCTAATAATATGATTATAACATTTGTTACAGCTATGTAAACCCTGAAATTCAGCCGGGGGTGCAAGTGCAAAAATGGAACGCGGTCCTGACCCAAAGCAGGAGAAGGAACGAGGTGGTTTTTAACCATTTAGACCTATAAGACTAAACGCCACCCCGCTCTCCTTCGATACTCCTTCTCGCATAAACCGGGGCGGGAGAAGTAATTTGACGATTTCCCTTCACAAAAACAGCCTGAACTTTCTGTACCTCTAATATATACAAGTTCAGATAATCCCATTTTAATATCCTTAAGGAGTATGCTGACCCTAACGGTTTAAGGATTTAAGTCGGTTAAAATTATTTATGCTTCACCCAGATTGGGATGAGTTATTTTATGGCATTAATAAAGGGAGTGTGCAAATATTGGCACACATAAGAAACAAAATTAGAAATCATTATTATAACTTTCGTGAGACATTCTAAATTAATTATGTTTTCGGCTTACGCAGACTCGAGTATTCAGTAGCAGCGCGACAGTCGCCGAGTCGCGTGTCGCGGAATGCTGCTCATGAATATGGGCCTCTAGCATGGCTTGAAACTAGTCGAGTATATCGTCAAATTATTACGTGAGTAAGCCGAAAACTTAATTAATAAAATTAGAAATCTTTGAGAATTTACAAATATATTAGTCAAGTCAATTTCTATCATTGTTTCAAAAGGAGCAGATGTACTAATCAAAAGATAGAACTTCAATAAACTTACCTGAGGCATATATCCAACCCTAGGTCCTGGTACACCACTGCCCTTCTCGCCTGGTCTTCCACCCAGGACCCAGACATTCCCGCTGTCCAGCTTTCTCCTTCCTACTATGCACGATAGCAGAGTGGTCTTACCACATCCTGACGGTCCAAGAAGACCATATCTGTGGAAAAAATACAAGTTAGATGTTGATTTTTTAAAGGACTTTTGTTTTAAGAATTTTGGTTTCATTGTTTCGAAAGGGAACCGAATTTCATTATTTTTGAAAGTGACTCAACACTTAGGGTCAACTTACACCAAGAGGTTGCTTTTTATTCATATTTTATTAAATTTAATTCATCAATTTTATACCACTTCTATAAAATCCTATTTTTCATGTATTTCAAATTTCCACTAGTTCCTGCCCTCGATTTTACCCGCTGCTCGGCTCTTACATATCGTATCGTGTTATTTTATAGCTTATAGCCTTCCTCAATAAATGGACTAAGAAATTCAAAAAGGGTTTTTCAATTAGAACTAAGTAGTAGCCGGAACCACTACTTAGTTCGAATTGGAAAACCCTTTTTTGATTAGTGTGTTCAAACAAACTCAACTGCTTTAGAATATTATAAATATATAAGTATAGATTTTTAATGTTATCCATTTTCTTTCATACTCTACCGATCTTGTACTTTACCATCAAAGCACAAGGACTCAAAGGGAACCTTTTCGTCAAACTCTTTTGTTCTTAGTTATAGTTGTAGTTTTTGAAAGTACATAACAAAAATTCATGCGGTTAATCACCCACATAAAAGCTAGTTCCAAAAAGATCTAGAAAGTACTTACATGATACCCCTATCAACGACCATGTCCATGTCCTTAAGGACAGGTTTGAAGTCTGCTTTGTCAGGCCTGCCATAGTGTTTGTTGGCCTTCTCCACGATCACAGCGGCCGAACACACGGCCATTTTTGAATGCTTCTGTTCTTCTCACTTTTAGCAAGACATTGTATATTCTGTTGACAAAAGAAAATACTTTGTTAGTAAGCTTCGATTTTTATATAACACACATAAAATGAGACTCCAAATGAATTGAAATATGAGATTATCGCCGTTAGTTTGCCGCGAAAGTTGCACATGAATAAGAGTCCCGGTGTGCTTTGAAACTAGTAGAGCTTGTCTCGAAACGTTTACTATTCTATATTTCAATTCGTTGTGTGGGATAAACAAGTTATGTTTTATTTAAATTTATTTATGATATTGTGTAAAAGCAAATGACGCTGGAATCTGGGCGGAGCGCGAGGACTCACAGACTCTTACTGACTAAACCCCTCCCCCATTCCTTCTTCGGTACGTTTACATATAAGAACCTTGGGTATGATTAGAGGTATTTATTTAAAAAAAATGTATTTAATCCTATAGGGATAAATAGGCCAAATGTTATGGAGAGTTGACATCTGCAATATTCACCAGATCTTAACTTTTCATCTTTTAAACGCATAGTCTAGTGCTGTGAGTAAAATAGTAAATTCATTCTTAACTTGTTAGTAATTACAAATTAAGAATTGAATTGCAAAGACACGTTTCGCATTTAAAATTGTATTCTATGAATAGTTAATTAGCCTTCGATCTTCAGTGGCAAGAATTCATTGTCAAAGATTAGTCATGGATTTGAAGATGTCGTGGTGGCTCAGAGGTTAAGGAGCCCGCTTCTCATGCATGAGGGTACCAATGTGAGTTTCCCGAGTTATATGTACTTTATATGCTTATTTAGACACCGCTGACATACGGTGAAGGAAAACATCGTGAGGAAACCTGGACTTATAATTTCTAATTATTTCTAATTTTATATTAATTTCTTATTTCTAATTATAAGTTTGAAATCGCCAACCCGCATTGAGCAAGCGTGTTGATTAATGCTCAAACCTTCTCCGTGTGAGAAGAGGCCTTTGTTCAGCAGTGGGCACTTATAGGCTGATGATGATGATGATGATTGAAATTAGTTTACTGTATTATTGATTTTTAAGTTAAAATTTATGTTTATAGTGATAATGGTTTGAGAATCGAAGTTTAGTAAACACATCTGTTACCTAAATAATAATATGTAAGTATTTAAGTCACAGTGTAATTAAAAAAAATGTTTATATTGATCTAATCGATTAATGTTTTGTTTTTAACAGAACCAAATACTTTTTATGATTTAAAATATTGTGCGACGTCACGATTTAGTTTAATTTATGCTGATTGCTGACGTAGAGACTCTTTATTAATTTTATTTAAGTAACTAGCGACCCGTACCGGCTTCGAGAGGTACAATGCTGAAACTAAATTTCTCCACTATTTAATGGATGTTATGATGTATACTTATGAACCTTCCTCTTCGATCACTCTACCTTTTAACAAAAGCGCATCAAAATCCTTTGCGTAATTTCAAAGATAAGATAAAGATATAAAGCATACATAGGGATAGAGAAAGCGATTTGTTTATTATATTAGGTATTTTTATATTTTTTTATAAGCTTCCCTTAAGAGTGAAGTTTTATGAAATAAGGTGTGCTTTGTACTTATATTTTGTAGATATTAAAAACAAAATTATTGTCATTAAAACCAATCTTAACAGTGAAACAAACTAAAAACCTAACAATTACATAGTGTCTATGTACTATGAGGTATATAATTGACAAAATAACAGTTTGTGTAGGAAAACCTTGAACATTATGTATAATTATTGACTACACCTTAGACATGGCGTGGCTACGAAAATGGTTACATCCGATAAAAGTATTATATTTTTATTGTTGCTATTCTTTGCTTTTTTGAGAATTATGTTTGAATTCGAAACCTGGCAAGCACCAATGTGACTTTTTCCGAGTTATATGTACTCTCTATAATTATTTAGACACCACTGACATACGGTGAAGGAAAACATCGCGAGAAAACCTGGACTAATTTCTAATTATAAGTTTTAAATCGCCAATCTGCCTTGAGCAAGCGTGGTGGTTAGTGCTCAATCCTTCTCCGTATGAGAAGAGGCTTAAAGGCTGATGATATGTGTATATGTTTGTTTGAATTTAAAATTAGTTCGGCCGTACTAGGCTCGGTGAACTCCTAACTGCCTTTAACAGTAAAAAAATGTAAAAAGTGCAGGGCAAAATATTGTCAGAAGTTGTGACAATATTTTGAGACATTTGAATGTCTGAAAACATTTTACCTTACCCTGGATTTTTCACAAATATTTGAACGCCGAAATTAGCCATATCGGTCCAGCCGTTCACGAGTTTTGGCGAGACTAATGAGCAAAAAAATTTAAAGTTCTTTTTTGTTATCAATAAGTAAAAAGCAAAGAAAATCACAATATAAAATTTACTTTAATAGTCTACGGTCAAAAAATCGATAACATTAAAATTAACAAATTATTACTTTTATTTATTTTTATATTTATTAAAAAAGTTATCGCTGAGGACAGGATTCGAACCTGCGCGGGTATAACCCATTGGATTTCAAGTCCAACTCCTTAACCACTCGGACACCTCAGCTATGAAAATCATAGTCTAAATGTAGTACTTATCACAGATATAGCGCGTATACTGTTGTATAATTATTAATGTAAATTTGTTTGTACAGTTGTAGATAACAATAGATGGCTTATATCATGCCTAACAACAACTAAAAACGATTTTTGAAATGTTTGTTAGCGCATATCTTGAGAACGACTGCTTCAAATTCGATAAAACATAAATAATATTAATTGAGAATTTTTAGTTGTAATAGTAGTAAGTTAGTCAAAATTGGCGCTTATAGGCTATATTTTTTTCGAACAAAAACTTAAACTGCCTATTTTTACTTCGAAATAAGAAGTACAGAATGCATCGGGGTTGTGGGTTCAAGCGCGATAATGTATCGCAGGTCCCAGGGTCCTGAGAAAGAGAGGAAACCGGGTGGTGTTTAGTCAGTGAGAGTAACACTCCCTCCGTCCCCGCCCAGGTCGAAAACTGACATTTAATGATTATCTTTCCTTAAAACAAAAAAACAGCTTACGCAACGCAACGGGTCTGATTTTTGAAGTCTGTATTATTCGAATGATATTTCTCTTTTTCTTATTATTGGCTTGAAATTTAACGTTTAATATAAGTAACCAAATCTTAACAAAATGAAAGAAAAGGTTATTTATTTTAATAAAAAAATCGCTGAGGACAGGATTCGAACCTGCGCGGGTATAACCCATTGGATTTCAAGTCCAACTCCTTAACCACTCGGACACCTCAGCTGTTATACACTATGACTAAATTGTTATATCACAGATACTGCGCGTATACTGAGCTAGAAATATTATTTGTACAAGTTTTTTTGAGTTGAGAACATCATCAAATCGCTTTCCTTGTTAGGACAAGGTCTAACACTTTTTTTTTATGTGATAGGTCGGCAAACTAGCAGACGGATTACCTGATGGTAAGCAATCAGTGCCGCCCATAGACACCCGCAACGGAGGAGTTACGAGTGCGTTGCCAACCTTTTAGGGATTAGGGATTAAGGAGGGATTGGGGGAGGGGAAGGATTGGGCCTCTTTCGTCTCTGACTCTAAGTGACTAAAAACCATCCCGTACCTTATCTTGCTCCAATCCGAGGCCGAATGTATTATTGCTTGTAACTTCTCCTACCTATTCCAGTCCGCGACCGCGGTGTATCATTGATCCTCAACCCATATTTGTTCAGTAGTAGATAACAATAGGACCTTGTTGGGATGGTACAATATCTAGACTTTTCTTGTAACTACCTACCACCAACTCTTCCCCAGGGTGGCGTCAGTAAGAGCTAAATAGTATGTAAAATAAAATTCGAATTCTTCTGAATAAAACGCCTGGTCTGACGTTTTTTATGTCACGTTTCAGTTCGTTTTGGATACCGTTTTGTGATAGTTCACGGCTTGCCCTGCTTAAGACTTTGAGTATCCCATAGAGTAGAGTATTCCATAGTAGAGTAGAGTATTCCATTGTAGAGAGATAGTCCCATAGCCAGGGTTGTGGGTGTTAGCGTAATAATGTACTGCAGCCCCGAAGCGGAGCAGGAGACGGAACGGGGTAGTATTTAGTCAGTAAGAGTCTGACACTCTCTCCCGCCCCAACCAGGGTGAGGGAGAAGTCATCGGATGATTTCTTCCCTTTCAAAAAAGGATCGAAAGACACCGGGTAATAGAGTTTCTAGCGAATCTTTTAAACACTAAATGGCGGTCTTAAATCTCTTTACCAAGTATGGAGATTATGGAAAACCCCTCGTTTATAGAGCGTATAGAACAACAGTAGGCCCTCACAGCCTATCGATGACAATTATCTCCTAAACAAATAAAAATTTTTCGCTATAATGTATGTAAGTGCACACGATTGTTTCAATTCATTCTTAATTGTCAACCCGGCAAAGATTTTCTATTGCGACCTATGTAAAAATGTCTAAAAACACTTAAACGCATAAAGTTATCTAAGACAATATATTTATATTTGGAAATTTATAAAAAAAAATTCGTTAGCTAAAAATCACCCGGTTCTTTCTCCTGCTCTAGGCCGAGTCCGCGGTGCCCCATAGCGCTTACCCCGCCTCGACGGCAAAAAAAATCGCTGAGGACAGGATTCGAACCTGCGCGGGTATAACCCATTGGATTTCAAGTCCAACTCCTTAACCACTCGGACACCTCAGCTGTTGTACACTATGTCTAAATTAAACACAACAATCATAGATAACACAGCTATTTCAGACGCAAGCAGATCAACCTATACGTTTATATTGATATTCTTTTATTACATTTTCTACTTTATCGTTTTGAAATATAGTCGAAAATCTGATGAGAGATATTGATAGAAACTGAAGTTTGGTTAGCGTATATTCTTATAAATACGTAGGTATATTTGTACAGTTGTATGGTATACAATATGGGTTTAGGTGGTTAAAACAAAAGGTAAAAAATCTTGGTATGTCTTTTGATATTACAAATTTATCTTTACAAAATCATACATTACTAGCTAGT